CCCCAGCCAGCCCTGCTGGCTGGGGAATTCTGGGAGTTGAAGTCCACACCTCTTAAAGTTCCCAAGGTTGGGAAACGGCTCTAGAAAGTAGAGACCATCTCTTAGAAAGCTGTTCCCCTCTTCAGTAGTTCCTAAATGAAGGTCTTTTTGCTAAAGGCAGCCAAACATAACTGCTTCCCTGCCAGTTCCATCCCTTAGGTCTTCTCCTGCCCTTGGGGGTTGCAAAGACAAGGCCTCACGGGGTGTTCTGAAGACACGTCTCCTAAGACGTGGGCACCCTGCGGCTCATCCTGATGCGTTCTGGGTGGCCTTGTGTTCCCTGTAAATTTGAAATCTCCCATTACCTGGGCAGCAGATTGAGGACAAACCCTTAAGGAGGACGTGGGCTTTATTTATTTGTAGTCCCAAATTGTTAAGGAGGATGAACATCAACTCAATAATATCCTAGGGTACCTGTTGAGGCTGGCACCATGCAATCACATTAGCGGAGTGAAAGACTGCTCTTTTCAAAGATCATGATTTTTCTTCCTAGGAGTCCATACATCCTTGTACTAGTGACTACTGTACAGTAGTGGCAAGACGTTAGGTCGTGCAAACCCAGCCCGTGTCTTAAGGAGAACCTTGTGGTGCTGTCAGTAGGACACCCTGAGCCACAAACTGGTCAAATACATTTGGTTTGACCTGTTGTGAAGTCTCCCTCCACTGGGTTTCCTTACAGTTTACCCCAAGTTCAATTCCTTTTGAGCCAACCATAGTTCAACATGTGATATAAACCTAGGTTCTGTCTTTTCGACACCCTGGTTAGCTTGGTCACTATATATTAGGGCTACATGAAATGTTCGGAGACATTTGTGTTACTTGAATCCTCTCCTGCTCCCACCATCATCTCGTTCCGGCACCCTTTAAAACCGGAACGTTTGCTGAAAAGATGAGCAAAGTCTTCTCTCAGGTCACTCACAACTTGGATGGAGAGATCAGATTTGCGGCTGACCCAAAATTGGGTGGCGTCCCCCATACAGTAGAAGACTGAAATGAAATTCAAAAGGATTTTGAGGGTTTATTGAAATGGGCTGAAAGTAACAATTAAAGGTAACACAAAGTTCATCACTTAGGAAGCAAAAATCCAGCAAACAGAGAGAGAGGCTGGGGGTGCCCAGCTGAGTCATGGAATGTGTGAAAAAGATTTTAGAATAGCCGTGGACTGCAAACCGAGTACGCGTCGGCGGGTGAGATGAAGGCAAAAAGGAAAGGCAGCTTTGGCTACGTTAACAGAAGTATAAATTCCAAATGAGAAAATAATAACGGGAAGTCATTATTCGGGAGTGTCTGCAGGGTGTGGTCAAAAGAGTCAAGATGGAGGCCATGATGGTGTGATCAAAGTCCCACCTGTTTTTATGCGCATGACGCTTTCAACGAGTCGTTTCAACGAGATGGGCGGTGACAAATTTGATACATAAATAAATAAACAGGCAAAGCGTTCAATGGCACCATCATGGCCGCCATCTTGATTTTTTTAGACCACGCTTTGTGGACACCCCGGTCATAATTTCATTTGATACTGTTTTAGTTAGCCTCGCGTTGCTCAGTTCTGGGCACCAAACTCTGTTCTTGAGGAGCAATGGAAGGAAATGCGTAGCCTTGAGGAGCAAAGGCCGAAAGGGGGGGAATGATATAATAGCCCTCTTCAAATCCTTGACAGGAGGTCACGTAGAAGGTGGTCAAGACCAATTCTCCATCCTCCGCACAGGATGCAAAACAACGGATTTCAGTTACAAGACTGGCGATGCCAACGGTACGCTAGACCAAGAAAAACCTTATCAGCAAGAGCAGTTGGAGGGGGGACCCCTGTCCCACAGAGGGGGTGGCTATGGCTATACTAGACAGCCATCCATCAGGGACGCTTTAATCTGAATTCCTGCCCGCACGAGGTGAGGTTGAACTTCAGCGGTCAGTCATAGCAGCAGCCCTTTCTCTAGACCAGTGTTTCTCCACCTTAGCGATTGAAGATGGGTGGACTTCAACTCCCAGAATTCCCCAGCCAGCATGCTGGCTGGGG